TATATAAACATAGAATGAGCAAACATTAATGAAATCTATACAGTATTTATTATATACAAACAACATTAACATAACTGTTTACAATTAAAATTCTTATGTTTGTGCTAAAACTAATACTTGTTTACAAATATTTAAGAACCATAATGACCTATCTAAATGAATGATAAAGTGTTTTATGTGATATCTCAGAAGGTAGCATTATAAAACTGGAAAATGATGAGTAGAACTGTACCATCTCAATATTAAAAGGGAAGTGCACGTAATATAAACCTTTCTTTCTAACTATTCAAGTTCCACGTGCGGGATCGTGGATATGCTCTGCTGAAGAGTCCCATACTGGGACAAAACGACCATTCAGTACTTCCAGGTTTTCAATGGTAATATAAAATTGAGTGGTTCATGATCTCAGTTATAAATATTTATATTTCAAGTTAAAATGAAAATACCAACTTTATATGGTGATAAGTCCACCTTTTTGGTACAGTGTATAGTGAACTAGAATAATACTAGAATTTTGAACCCTTTGATTATATTATTAGTAAATCAACCAGACAATCACTATCCTATATCCAATTACATCATCGTCACTTTCTCGTTTAATCCATTCAGCTATATATTGAAATTGTTAGAAATGGAAAGTATTTTTAATTATTTCTTTTGACTAGTAAAATAAATAAATTTTCCCTACACGTTACACATAAAATCACCATTGTAAACCATTTCAATTATTTATACAAATCAGTCTGTATGTGGATGACCTGGAGCATATCAAATAAAATGAATTCATCTTATCCTACATTGTTCGTTATTTTCTCTTTACAAATGTTTATCAAGTGACTCAGTTGCATAAAAGTATCCAACTCACAAAATCCAAGTTCAAATCACCTAAATATGATATCCGAATATATCAAATATATTTACATACTCATTTATCTCTAAACGCATGGTTACCTTGTTCATAATAAATACCCATAATTAAAACATATCTTCCAGGTTGATGTTACGTTTACATTACACGGAAAGTACAGAAAAGATTTTCAATGATATAAAATCAAATTTCGTTAAACTTTTTGAAATCTTAAAGTTAAAAAACTCTTTAAACTGTAAAGATTCGGTGAATAATTTGTAACTCTGTTTATCGATTGTATATGAGTTTTTTTCCAATCAGTAAATTCCCAACAAACTTACATTAGTCACACTAGCTGTCAACCTTCATGTACCTGTGTATCCTACTCTGTTTTTTAACAACTGATATCTTTTTCATGATGACAATCATCTAGCTATAATACTATCTCTAGGAAATATCTCGTAATTATAATCGTGGAATTAGTTTATTTAATCATTTACTTAATATCAGATGGGTTTTGTGAAGATTGTAGTAATTTCAATGGTTAAGATCATGAGTCAGTTGAAGCTAGACCACCATGGAAAACCTGGAAGCACTGGACGGCCGTTTCGTCCTATTGTGGGACTCCTCAGCAGGTTTAAATAACACATCTAAAAAGAAATTTAAGACTTAATTATTTCGGAAAATTAATCACACACCAAACACATACCATTTTAAATTATTAGCAAAGTATTTTAGATATTTGTTTAATCTTCATGGGAATTAAATTTACAGGTGTGTTTGTTTGGTTTTGTAGGAGGTTTGGCATGATATATACGCGATAGTTTATTTTATAAATGAACAACAGAACGTAAAATATCTTGTCAATCTATCAATATTTTGTAATATTTGACCCAGATAACGAAAAAAATAGAAGTTACACTTCTATACTGATGAATGTGAATTTAAAAAAAAAACAGTTGATCATTCCTGAAGATAAAAAGAAATACTCACTTTATTCCCTTATGTTAGAAATATGCCCCACCCTAGATGTCAACATTCACTTTGATACACACAAACACGCGAGTAAATACGTTTTAGAAGAGTAGATAATTTATACATACATAAATTCTATCTATATTTTTGCAAAGAAAAATTTTGTCAGGTACATGTGTTTTATGACCTCTTTTCCCCCTAAAATAAAAGACGAATTTGTGATCAGCTAGTGGAAATCACCAGTTGATTGGTTTCTTTTTCTAATTTTACCATAAAAATTGAATATATATTTTCTCCGTTGACTTACTCGCCTATTTAATGGCTCCCACTTACTTATTTTAAAAAGATTATTATCACTTTTAGGATACATACGAAAATTGACAAATGTTTTATGGTATTATTATGCTAACCCATCTAACTATCTACCTACTTACTTACATGTCAATGGTTTTTCTTTTTTAACTATTTTGCACGCCTGTCTATCAAAGAATACTTATCATTGAATGGATTAGCTTGTCTAATACTTAAAATTTTCTCATGAATGATTTAATATTAAAAGCTACATTTTTTCAAGCTAAAATTCTGTGACCCAAGAAAATGTAACGTCTACACATAATTTTTACATAATTCTGCGAATGTACTGAAAAAAGAGGGGAAGTTCATTTATGATTAATGTGCACCGTAAGTAATATGTTATTATATAGTACTGGTTAAATTAAGTTAGTGCTACTCGTGAATGCAATTAAATTATAGTGTTCATTTATTATGAAGTAAAGTAAACTCAACTGTTAGCGACGGATAACTATTTCCTTAATTAATAATAACACCCTTAAGCAAATCTATGTGTTTGTGATGTACACCATTACTAAACCCATGTTAGTTAAGTTCATAAGCAGATAATTTCACATAACGCATCCACGATTCCGCCTCGCGAGATTGCAACACAGGACCTATCAGTATCGTGCGCGAACACTCAGTTTCTACACCACTGAGCCGTCATCCAAACGTGTTAATGTCTAACTTCAACAAATTCATGAAATTGAGCCACCGTCGACTATTGTCCTCAGTGAGTTAATATCTCACAAGAGACCCGATTGTACTGCACTGGTCATTGTTTCTCACTAGAACTCCAGGAAACACTTCTTGAAGCCAGTCACTAGTGGGCATATGATGATTATTATCAGAAGGGGTTTTGTAGTGATTTTAGTAATTTTACGGTTGAATTCATGAGCCAATTGAAATTCGTTATCATTTTTCCTTGAAAACCTACATTCTAAATGATATTTCGATCATGATAACACATGTTTCAGGTTGTTGAAGTTTATGCTGCAGACCACCTCCTAAACATCTAACATTTGAACATGGTGCACTCAATACAGAATCACGTGGACGAATGACCAAATTAAACTGTAATTGATAGGATCTGGTCAACGTTGAAAGAACAGACAAACGTGATAATTGCCACTATTCAGTTATCTATCGCTTGTAACATTCTTTATTCTTGATTGATTGGAAGTGACTATTATTCCACTGAAGGCAAAACCAACTTACTGACTGACGTCTAGATTGTAGATTACCGGTCTACTGTTGTGATCATTTTCCAACCAGAAGGCTTTGGGTTGAATTTTGTGTATAGTCGCTGAAGTCCACTTTTGGAAGGCTCCAAACTAGAAACGAATGACTGCAGTTGATATCAGTTCGTGCTTAGAATTATCTTAAGAAACGGCATTTGGATGATAGGCAGTCATGGATTCTCACTACCCTAGTGAATGGAGTTTTATTATTTGGATCGATAAGTAATTAGTTTACTATAAGTGCCAATTTTAATACAGGTAAATTCTTATTGTTTATGTCTGCTTGAATTAAGTTTTTTAAGCATCGTCATGACAAATCACATTCTTGATCCAATAATTTTTATGGTTCATTCTCTTTATTGTGAATAAAATGATTTTTGCCAAGGTTAAGAGATTATATTATTTTAACTGTGCACCTAAGTCTAAATAAACAGTTTCACTTTAGATATCTATTTTCCATGTTCGATAATGAATGGTCTAGCTTCGGATTATTCGATAAAAATAAGTTTGAAAAGTCGTAAATATACCTTGTCGACTAAGTGTCAGCTAGTTGACAACTCTAGTTTTTGGCTAATTACTATGGATAACTAATCATTAAATCTTAAAAACACGGCTCATAGAATTATGGAGTCAAATGCAAGTTAGGTTTTTGTTAACTACAAGGACTGAAGAACCATTTATTCTCATAATAAAAATGCAAATAACTTAATTTTATAGGCAGGATTGGTCTTCCACAAAGTGATGCATTAATCGTTTAGTTGTAACCATCAAAACTGAACATTTATCATAGCATATTTTCATATTTAGATCACATATAAAGCTAAAAATGTCAAGATATAACGAAGGGGAATAATATAAAACTTTTATAGAAATATATATGTAATTTGATGGGATTTCTAGTTCATCATGTCAAAATCTAATTACTTTTTTTTAAAAGGATAGTTTAAGCAAAGTTTCAGTGAATTTGTTAGATTTTAAATAGACTTCACCTATTACTTTGAAACGTTAACAACCTGAAAATCAATTTGATTGGAGTGAACTATTGACCGGCTAGCTTATTCTTGAACAAGACTTACCAACAGTATTTAGGTTAAACGATTATACGGAATCATGTATTGGATAATCTGGAAAAGAATTATATTGTTTAATTTATTCATTTCACTAATGATATTATAAGATTCATCTTATGACGAAAATATACATGATTAATTTGACAAAACATAGAACTTAATTTTTATTCCAGTTACATTCAATGATAAAGTTGACCAGTTATTCAGTAAGCCATCACTTTTCCCTTATCAAAAGTTTTAAACCAGTCGCTTTGAAGTTGAAGCTCATCAAAACTATAAATCCGTTTCTGTTGCGCCTATTAACTAAACTGTTCATGCTAATCAGTATAATCACTATGTATATTATCCAGCATCCTTCAACGAGAATTCCTATGTTAAAAACACCACTGTTTCACATTTAAGTAACTACATTACGGATATACTTGAAAATATTTAATAGAACCCTGATTTATCGGATTACATGTTATTTTGTATCGTTTAAGACTATTTTACAAAGTCCCTTCATTGTCTTTTTTTCTTTTTCAAATAACTAATGGTTTAATTAAAGTTTATTTCAATAATTATTCAAATATTATACAGATAAATTTAACAAAAGTACAGGTATGGAAAAAAGCATAATATTTACAAATCATTATAGTTATTCTTCATTTATGTACATGAAAGTAATCAGATCTCAGTATATTGTTAATCATTAGACGGGGAGGGTTGAATAATCTTTCCCTATATATTATTTGTATCATCAAAGTTTTTATTGACAATATGGAGAGAACAGTATTAGATTTGAGTATTGAAACAGATAATAATTGAATATTTAATGAGTAATAGACTATCTTATTTGATTGTTATCATATTGATCTTGTCATCATTATACTACTGATAATTATAACAATCACTTTTCATTAATGAACATTTTGAAAGACATTTGTTTAATTTGTACATATTGAGACGCCACATCACATTCCGTAAAGAAATGAAGCCAGTTGATTACCTAAGAAAAACCTGAAAACAGAAAGAAATAGAAAATAACTTTACATTGGAATATTTTCATTAACTTATCTAATTAAATCACCTATTGTTCAGCTAATAAAAAAAGAAGATTTTTTTAAATTGGGAAAAAATTTCCTTGTATCAGAATGTGTTCAATTTAACCAATTTACTTTAGTTCTAGAGGGTAAATGAATTCAACAATGGTAAAAATTAACTCAATAGGATTATATGGCTGTTAGTTACCTGAGTGAAAATAAATTGCAAGCACTACTTCAGTTCATATTTCTCTATAAATTTAAGTTTTAGAATTTTAATGAAAATCAGATCACTTAATTGTCGATTAGGTTATTTGTCAAGATTTATGTAGACAAATTTATTTGCTCATACACAATGGTTGGTCAGAGTTATATGAAGTCAGTGATAAAACAAAAGATAAATAAATTTCATAGTGAGACCTTAGTTTCTCATGCTAATGAAATGCTACGGAAACAGATATCTTGAGATTATTTATGTTCCGAATGATATTTAATCAAATTCATCTTGTATCAAATAGTATAACTCGATTTTTCTCACTGGTCGGTTTTTTATTAATTTGAGCCCAATTGTTGATAATCCGCTTTATGAGAGTATTTTCCACGTGACCACACTATGTGCATCAATTCAAGTGATCGACTATTATTCACATGATCAGAAAATGTCTCAGTTTGCGACAAAGGTCTGTAACATTGGATAAGCCACTTAGTAACCAACATTGCCATTCAATTATTTGTGATTGATATTTATCTTTTCATAAAAATTCATAATGTAGGTTTTCACTTTTGACTGAATAATATATATTTATTGGTTTCCTAAACGTTACAAAACATATTTTTCTGTCTCATACAGTCTCAAAGTAGCATAAATTTTTTTCTTTGTACTCGGCAATTTATACTACTTACAAGTAGTCAAATGAGTTGAACGGAAGTATTAAAACTTTGGGTGGTTCTCAACTCACCCCAAATTGAATCGCTTGATAAATATCGTAAACTAAGTAAAAACAATACATTATGTACAATGTACACCATAAAACATCGTACTGGGTACACGCATATTTAAAGTAAATATAAGTTAAACATTTTGAGTCGTAAATTTTGAGCAGATAGATTGTATCGGTTGTTTTCCCATTTTAGCTAATGTTTAGGATTAATAAACAGTCCATTTACTATATATTTGGTAACCATATCATTTAAAGAATTAAATTACGCAAAGCAAATAAAGTGAACTTACATGTTTTCAATAGATTTTTGACATTTATATATCAATAAAGTTACAATATTGTTTGTTCTGATAAATGTAGTTTCTCTGCCTGCTCACGCCATTTAGGAAGGATTTCTGAAAAATTTAAACAATAAATATTCTCAGTTAGTATCTGATCAGATAGTAAACTTCATAAATTGTCATCTAAGTCTTTGTTTCTTACATAATTTCTACATACAGAAGTCTGTAATGAACAAATTCATCTTCATTTATAAAAAATAATTACAATCAAACAGTTCGGTAAATATATTTTAAGTAACATTTGTTATATTAGCTGATTAAATCCATCAATCACAAAACATTTCAGATGTTACTGACCTTGTGAAAACATCTTTAACATGCTTTATACCTACCTAGTAACGTTGTTTGTCTATATTTCGTAATAGGATAGGCGATTTTCCCACTTTCTGGTGTTTCATGTTTACGAATTCCATATTTTGTGTATGAATTAAAGGGTACTGATTCATTAACTAGTAGTTCCTGAAGTGAATTCACAGTTCTATATGAAATAATCGAATTCGATACATTTAATTTGTTTAATGTAGAAGTATTTAACGTCGTAAGTGAATATGATCGTTCCAAAACATGATTTAAAAGTGTATGTTTTACAGTGTGAGCAAGATTTTGAGGCCATTTTTTCACAGGTAAATTCCATGAGTTAATTTTGGCCGATATAAGTTTATTTTTCTTTGAATTCTCTACATTACTTTTCAATAAATTGCTATGTTGTGAGGTCAAAAGTTCATTTGTTCCCTTCTTCACTTTACTTGCTTTCGCATAACGTATTTGTTTTATTGGTGTTTGGAGCACTTGGGTACTGTCATGCTGATCTATTGAGACACAAGTATCTGAATGGCATTGTTTGCCCAAATAAAACGATGGTATATATTGATTTTTTGTACTTATCAGCTCCCATTGCCAGCGATCACATGAATTACTGCTCTTAGTATCATTGTTTTCAGCGATAACTGCCGGAGTTGATAAACATTTAGGTAAATTTTTCATTGTCCCGTTAAAGTGTGCATAATCAGATATGGGTGATGGCGTTTCCGATGCATAATTTGGTGTGAAACAGTTAATATTAATGTCATACATCCTTTGAAATCGCTCAGTCGATGACTTCATAGCGTTATCAGCTTCCTGTTGCCTTCTTTTGGTAAAAAGTGTCTTATCCATCGTACAATTGCTGGAACATGTGAATAACTGTCTAGCTGGAAAACTGATTTCTGAATCCATGACCATTTTGACTACAATAAACGAGTGTTAATTGTCGCGTGTCATATACCACCTGGTTATTTATACCAAAAGATAAGGATAAAAAAAATAAGGGAATTGATAATTCTAATATCCAGCCAATCAAAATTGAGTGGGGTTAGGTGTGATGCTTTTGTAATCATTCTATTGGATGAAATTTCTTACCGTACCGTCATGAATTTTCTAATGGTGAGAGTTCTTTTTATTTCGAGTAATATGACTGGTTAGAAAACCAGTGAATTTGTTACTTATGAAAAAATCATGATGATGAAAATGTTCATACAAGACAGCGAATTTTTTAAACGCAGGGATGATGAATAAAGTGATCACCATAAGATTAAAATTATTCGACTAAGTTAAGAAGGCAACAAACAAACAATAGACTAACTTCTTTAATTTAAGTATTCCACATCAAAAATAAACATCTTTATGATTAATATAGGGGGGTTTGCGATTATTGTTGAATTTTCACTATTTGGGTCACGGAAACCAAGAAAATTTTAAATTGTTGTGATGAAAGCTAACTGTGATTACTGAATAATTTAATAAAGCAACATTGGAAATTAACTTATAAGTGCGGACTATTAGTTCCTTCATACACATAGTTCCCTTTATCATTTTGAAAAGAGCAAGAACAAACATTCTAGCAGAATAGCATGAATTCATTTTTTATTTCGTTGGTTCTCGTCAGCTGCTTACAACCTGTGATATTTAAAATCATAATTAATGGGTTAAAATTACTTACATAAAAGAGTTTGATTGGAAGTTATATTAAAGACATATTCATATAGTATAACAAGGGTGTAAATAAATTTCATAGACTGAATATTGTAAATATATACCTTATGTGATGAAAGAACATTGTGACAACAGTTCAAACGGTTAGAAACAAATAAACTTTGATAGGAATAAAATGAGTAGAGTTCAGTTGATAAAATAAAATAAGATAGTTGGAATAAAACTCAATGGTGTAATAAATGCAAGAAAGAGTTTAAAGAAAAAGAAATAAAAATTATTTAGATATAACGAAGGAATATTAATCACCAAGGCAAGGAAAGATTAATAACCATCTCCTTTTGAACACATAAATCAGGCTTTTGGCGCCTGATAGCAACTGCTTCAGCAAACTTCAGAAGACTGGAGTTTGGCTGCTTACTAATCACCTTGAATGATTGTAGGGTATCGACCTGATGTCCTGTATCAAGAAGATGTTTGGTGATTGCACTATTTAGAGTCTTTCTTTCTCTTGTTCTGAGGCTTTTTGGGACATGTTCAAAAAATCTGAGATATGCCCTCCTTTCTGTTCGGCCAATGTAGCTGCTTTGGCAGGTACACGTAAATTTATAAATACAATTGGCGGTAACATGAAAAGGATGCTTATCAACTTTTGATTGAGTTATTGAGCATGTTGTTTTATACAGAATTTGAAGTTTGGCCGCCGGATAAGTTCTGGCTAGCGCAGTATTCAGTCTCCTGTTGATTGTGTTTGCAACCTCATCACCTTTGAAGTTAAGACTTATAGTTATTGGTTTTTTATTGACAGTAATTACTTCAGTATTGTTTTCTTTACGCTTCTTATACTTGTCAATAAACTTTTATTCCTATCAAGGTTTATTTGTTTCTAACCGTTTGAACTGTTGTCACAATGTTCTTTCATCACATAAGGTATATATTTACAATATTCAGTCTATGAAATTTATTTACACCCTTATTATACTATATGAATATTAGTTCCTTGATCAGTTATCTAAATGTGTCAGACTTGTTAAGTTACCTGAAGGCCATAGGTGTGATCTCGTGTACGATTATAATTAGAAATCAGTTAAGTAATTCCAAGTAGAGGATATTAAAACGATTATTGTTTGTTTGTTCACACTCAATGATAAATTTTGAAGATGAAACTACATTTATTTTGAAAAATAGTGATTGTTATAGGTGTTATCAAAATGCCTCGAAATATCTAGGTATACACATTTTTCGCCAAAATGTATGAAATACGGTAATATTTAGGAAAAAAGTTTCCCTGTCTGTAATCACTTTCAAAATTGAATCAAAACTAGTGATATTGTGCTTACTGCAACGCATTGTTAGTAAAAAGGTAACCACTATATAAATCATTGACTTTTATATCTATTTCCAAGCAATAATAACCTGTCAGACCATTTTTGAAATTGTTCATATTCTTGAATGACGGGTTTAAAAATTACGAAGGGAAAGATGGGAAGATTTGTTTGAGAATGTGGTGGTGAATTTAAGTGATAAATTTTAACCGCAGTTATTTTATTGTTATCCATTCAAATGGAACCCAAATGACTGTCTAGGTCTCTTAGGGCTAAACTAGTCCTCTGCCTACTCTTGATTCCTGATAAAAATTATTTCCGATTGATTTTGCTCGTATTCTCATGGAATGATTCAGTCATTTTTAAATGATTCTAGAAAAGACTATCAATTGTCAACAAAATGTTGGTTATACAAAGTTAATCGAAGATTGATAACAAAACCTAATAGTATTGAATGTCTTTTTTAACTTCATAGGTTTGCAGAAATAATTAGAAATTTGTTTCATTTTGAAAAGCCCTGACATTTTAGTTAAACAAATGAAGGATCAGGATGCTTTCCAATTGTCTAAAGGAACTAACTGAAAAAATCAAAAAATATAGAATAAATGCTTGTCAGTGCTAAAAATCAACAGGAAAGTTTGAAACCTTGATCATTTGACTTGGAATTCCGGTTAACAGTGGATAATTTCTTGTTCAGTTGTCATGGTTATGAATTTTCCAATGTTTATGGATAACTTTTAATAATCAATATGAAGTACATAGTTTAATTCATATTTTTCATTGAATGCTTTCAATCATAAAATACATCATAGTTATTTATAATATTTATCGCTAGTTTAATTAGATTGTTTAATGAATAAATTACAAAGCATTCATACTGGTTTGATTTTAAATTAACCCACTTAGAATTAAGAAACAAGTAATCATATAACGCAACAATTATAATTCGTTTTAGTGTCTTTACTAGGAAGAAAGTCAATCCATTCCTATATATGTATATGTATATATAGCCTTGAAGTACATAACAGATTGATCTAAGGCATTCAGAGAAATAAACATCTTTAAACTTAATATGGTTCTCGTTCTTTTAATAAACTAGTTACAAAACAGGTAATGATAAATAATCACTTAAAATACTTTGTTTTTTTAAACAATAAATTGAATGCAAGTCAGCTAAACAAAGAAACTGATTCCATATTAGATTTCTTTGAGGAGATCTAAATATTTGTGTAAAATGAAATAGTCTGCTTCACAAACGTAAGCTAATTGGAAGATCTTTGAAAATCAAAAAACACTAAACAATCATCCATTCTAGTTCGCACAACTAAAGACTAAACAGTAAACACGAAACCCTATAACCTTTCAAATTGATACAATTAGTTGTGTTTAATTGCAAAACATTTTAGTTACTATCAATGAATAGGCAAATGGAATTCTATGAATTATGGCACAAGTAGACCCTTGTTAACGTTGAACAATATTAAAATGTATCAGCTTACCATTTTTGTGATATTAAATTACCATCGAATTATGGAAAAAAAGAACACGTACATAAATTTTAGCAATATTTCAATAAAATTCAGTTAACCAAGTTGAATAAAATTTTGTTTCTATGGCAAATTTCATTCATTTTGACTTTGATATTTAGTAGATCGATGTTGGAAATGATGTCATCACAACATTGTATAATAGTAAACACATGCTAGTCTGTTATGTAACAATAAACTATGAACGAAGTCTATGGTAATGTTAATAACAGTTTTGTTCATGTTAAGTCAACTTGGCGTTTGTAAACTATATACTTTTAATAAACCGGTACTTTGATAAATAGTTGAAAATAATACTCTTAATCTCTAATCAAATGTGAATATGAATATTAAAGTGTACATCAATTTATCAAACTATGATACAGATGTTCCGTAATCATTTTTATCTTCGTGATTATCAAACATATATCTTATAACTATGATAATGGATGTTGCTGACTGTAATTAAATTCATCTTATTGTGTCATTGTTCCAATAAATAACTCATTATTTTAACAAAAGATTATACTGGATCTAATAGAATAGTTTGAATTCACAATGAAAATCACAGAAACCTGTTATGATGTGGATAAAGTCAAACTATTTAAGCCTTAACAACTAGACAGTTTTGTAACACAAAAAATGAAATAAAGAGACCATATCTGTTTAGTTTATAAATGATACTCTCCCAGGTCCATATGTAGCTGAATTAAACTATTTAAGGGTTGAAGATATTTACTGGTATTATAAACAGAGGAAGAATAGAGTAAATTTCTTAATCAATAAATCCTTGAAAGAAAAAACATTTACTGAATGACAGATTAAAGGTATATTTGTTGATTATAAATAACTTAGGTAAAAGTGTAGTTCTAGTTTTGTTGGAACCGCAGACTGATACAACTAACTTTGATTGTTTACATGATTTGGTAAACTGAAGTTAACAGCTTATCGACCGGCGCATTGCACTAAATGTTAGGGCATTTCAATTGGTGACTAACAGATACACTTTATTTATGAGGATTTGTTTTTTTCTCTAACACTTAGTTACTATACTTTACAACGTCCGAATAAGAGATTTAGTTCACCGCTAATCTATGAATAATAAATAGTTTTTAACAAAATTACTGACAGGGAGGTTTACTCAAACGTTTAAACTACCTGTTTTCCAACTATGCAAATGTTATTATTGAGGTACTAAATGCTGAAAAAAATGAATGAAGAACGCTGCAGTGGTTGGGATATTTCCCTCTTTGTTTGTTACTCAAAAAAAGGATTAGTACATCCGAATGTATGCATTTTATAAATGATGAATAGAAATTGCAGCTGTAGCATCTGAACTGGTAGGGAACTTTTTTAATTGGATTTAAATTTCATAAAATTTGGTTTCTTGAACTTATGTTAGATAGGACTTTGTTGCAATCATGAACAACCGGTGCTGAAAATTTCCCAAAGTAACAAATTTCTAATAATAAATAAAGCTATAATTATTATTGATATTAATGTGAAACAAGCCGATTTGTAGTACCAAAGTATTGTTGTTACCTTTA